AATCACTTAAGCTTGTTAACAACTTCTAAGGAAAGTAAAGTTTCCATTTCACTTGCATCAGAAGGAAATTGGCCATAAAGTAATGTAAAATTTGTCAAGAGGAGCCTGGTTCCTAATTCATCCAAAAGCATTTGATTGGGAACAAAAATGTATACATCTTAATGAACTCCACTTTTATGAGCGCATATTTGGAGTTACATGGCAATGTCACACCTACCAGGCTGCTGTCAGGAATATAGCCAAGTCGTCTCTCATTACCTGAAGTGGTATCTGCCTCCACTCTGTACTGAAAATCATAAAGCTGGTTTATTTTATTTTTATTCCACTCGTACAAGTTTTGAAAATCAGGGTGCAGGAAGTGATAATATGCTACTGTATTCCAGAACACAGAAAAGGGAAAGAGGACTGTAGAAACTTGTGTGTATTCCCCATTACCAAATCCCAGCCACACTGACTGATGCTCCAACCATTACTAATCCCTGGAAGAGTTATGTCTATTATTCTCGGTAGCAACCATATATGATTTGGGACAAATGTGATGGGCTTTTAATCCAAAAGTTCAGAAATAAAAGAGACATGTCATGGAGAGCAGGGTAACCCAACTGAATGAGGCTGCAGTAGTGAAGGCTTATCTTAATTCATCTTGTGTTGCTGTAACACAGTACCACAGCCTGGGTAATTTACAAAGAGAAGAAGTTTATTTCTATAGTTTTGGAGGATAGAAGTTCAAGATCAAGGCACCGGAATTTACTATCTGATGAGGGCTGCATCCTTCAGAAGAAAGGAAACCTGCATCCCCATATGGCTGAAGGTGGAAGGGCAAGAGAGAACAAACTCCCTCTTTCAAGCCTTTGTAGAGACACCTAATCTCATTCACAAGGAAGGAGCCCTGATGGCCTAATTGCCTCCTAAAGGCCCCACCTCTTAATATTATCAGATTAACAGCACCTGAATTTTGGAAGAGCCCCATTCAAACCACAGCAGGTAAAGATAATATAATTAGAACCAGGACCAAGAATAAGTACTAGCGTGAGAAATGACACCAACTCCTTCTTCCCAGTATCAAAGGGTGTCTCTTTCTGGCTATACAGACATGAAATGTTGATTGGGTTCGAGAAAGGCAAGAAAGGGTGGCTTTCTGATGTCTATGAATGATTCACAGTTATTTGAGATATTATATTTAAATATGATTTGATATGCCCATTGATTCAATGGGCAAAAGAATCACTTAGTAAAAATAATTTCTTCTGACTAGGTCTTATGACAGCTAGGGAAGTGTAGCAACTAGGCTTTTTTCTAGAATTATCACTATAGCGTCCCTCTATGATGAGCAAGATCAGGTCCTCCAAGGAGTTATGCACTGCAATATTGACTGGTCTGACAATTTAAAATGTGTGTATACTTATCGTCTTCTCAAAAAGATAAAAGGTGAAAAGAGGAAAATTACAATTATTTATAAATCTACCAACAAGACGTAATCACTGTTGGTACATTAATGTATTTTCGTACAATCAACGTGTGTATATGACACTTAAGTTTACTTCCTTCAGTTTTTAATTCGTCTGTGTTGGATATGTGGGGTCTATGTGTACATTGATTTAGCAGTGCATGTGATCAGCAGCTTAAAGGAGGGTATGGCTTTGCTATTAGATCCCAGTTAAAAAGACTTACCTTGTTTAATAGTTTGAAGCCAAAATATATTTCAATTCAAGTTGGAATAATTAGGAAACAGTCTTGCCACTTAGGCTAAATTATCCATTTACTAATCCAGAAGACATATTCTTCACTCTAGTAGCTTAAAAACCCCTTTCTTTCCCTGCTGTTTACAACACTTAGCACTTTTCAATTGTGGCATGCTTCCATCTTTCATCCCCCACCTGTATGCTCAGGCACAGAATGTATTCAGGCAATTTTTAAGTTTTGTAAATCATTCCCAATAGTCCCTTAATCCTTCTTGCCACTTTTCTCTAAATCCCTTTAGTTGATCAGTAGCTATTGGAGGGTATGGCCTGCAATAACCTCACACAGGCTTCCAGTACACTGTTAGAGATGATCGCCATCTTCACGGGCAGTGGGGCAGTCCATCCTTTGTGCATATGCAGCCTCACGTTTGCCTTTATTTTCCAGGCTTCTGCTCTGTGATTTAAATTCCTGTCCATAAATGGTGCAGATCTAATTTGCTGACCATATATAGTAAAGGTTTACTTTGACGTACTGTCTTTCCTAAAAAGAAATTTTACAGCACAAATCATTATAATTATCACATTTTTCTTAATTAGTAACCTCTTCTATATTTCTTTTACATCTTCTAGTTTTATAAAATATTTTCTTTATATTATTTTAACCCAACTTACTGAATTCTAAGACTATTATCTTGATTCCTTTTTTTGGTAGATGATAAGATTCTGAGCTACTCTTTATTGCTTAGATTTTTCAAATATGTGCGATTATATCTTGTTTTTGGTGTAATCTCAGAACTTCAGCTATTCTTCCAGTCTACGGGTAGAATCATTCTGTCATTAGAGACACTGGAGCCTGCCTCTCTCGTGACGGCCAGCTGGCAGGGCATATATTTTATATGTCTTGGTTGATGGCTTTCAAGTAAAGGGATGAGTCTGAGAAGACCAGCGCTCCTGACAAAAAGCTCTTTATAAAATCAATTATTTCGTTTGGCTGCCTGAGCTCTCCTTTTGCCTTTAGATTGAACAATCACTGAAAATCTACAAAATTTGTCATCACCCCAAACAACGACTCTGTAATATTAAGCAATAACTCCTTATTTTCCCCTTCTACCAGTCCCTGGTGTCCTCAATTCTGCTTTCTATCTCTATGAATTTGGCTATTCTAGATATTTCCTGTAAGTAGAAACATCATTCAATATTTGTGATCTTGCATCTGACTCATTTTATTTAGCTTCATGTTTTTAAGGTTCTTCTGTGTTATAGCATGTATCAGAACTGCGTTCCTCTTCAAAGCTGAATAATATTCCATTATGTGATATACTGTACTTTGTTTTCCCAGTCATTAGATGATGGCCTCTAGGGTTGTTTTCACCTTTTGCCTATTAAAAATAATGCTGCCATGAACAGGGTGTTCCCATTCATTTTTTGAAGTAACCCCCTCTTTTGTCTTCCTTCTCAGCTGTGTGGCAGCACTTGAGTCTCCAACACTCATATCCATGGAGGCTGCTCTACTTCTAGCTGTTCCCACCTCCACACACAAAATTAAAACAGACATTTTTTTTAAGGGAGGAAAGAAGCTATTAATCACCCTAATTATATTTCTTTGTTTAAAATTATGTATGATTTCTGAAAAATACAGAAAAAATAGGAGAGGGGAAATGTCCCCATAATCCCACCACTTTGGTGTAAGTAATGATATAATTTTGGTTTATTTCTGCCAGTTTTTTGCATGGCATTCTTTTTTAAATCTAAATGTGAACATGTTATGTGTTCAGAAATCTAAGTCTGTTTTGTTTTTGTTTTGCTGAAATTAAAATAGCCATTAAGATTTCCTTTGGTCAGTGTTTGCCTTTCATCTCTTTTTCCATCCTATAATGTTCAGTCTTTCTGTGCACTTACATTTCATGTATGTCCAAGACTGCTCCTCATATTTGCAGAGCCTGAGGCAAGAGTACAAACAGAGGCCCACAGACATTCTAATTGTTTAATTCAGCAATTATGTCTTCATTTAGGAAAGATTTTCAAATTATAAAGATCTCATCTGACTGATTCCAGTTACAAATTAGGTCAGAATAATTCTCTTGCTCATTTTTATTATTTTGGCTAGTAATTAAATCTTCATTAAATATAAAATGTGTTGTTTGAAAATTTTTTATGATGAATGCTTGACAGAGATTTATCCACTTTCATTACTTCTAGTTTTAAAAAAGGCCAGCAGACTACTTATTTTTCTATGTATTTTTTTGGCTTTTTTTCTCAGATGTTAGATTTTTTTCAGACATTCTCTTTTGTCACAATCTCAAATTCTTCTTGTTCTATTTCACCTGCCACCATACACACCGTGAAGCAGTGACTAGCTCCTTCTTAGCTGCAGTACAACCCACAAATCTTTACGGCATTTGAACACAGTGGCCATTTGTTTCAAGGATTTGGGGCAAGGAATATGGAGAAGTACTTTTTCTGGAATATGAATGGTGTTAGAAACAACCATGGATGCTTAGGATTACAGATCATGCTGTGACAGAATGACAAATGATGTGCCATTTAAAACAGTGCCTCTCAAACATTAATGCTGCATATCCATCACCTGAAGAAGCTTCTTAAAATGCAGATTCTGAATCTTTAGATCTGGGTTGGGGCCTGACAGTCAGCATTTCTAACAGGTGCCTAAGTGATGCTGCTGCTGTTGGCCCAAGACCCATCTCTAGAGTTGTAAAAGTCTGAAGCATAGGTAGGACCAAGATCAGGGATCTCTCTCATCTGATATTAAGGGTAACACTGTGTATATCCTATATGAATACTATATAGCTGGAATTGATTTTTAATTTAAAATTATAATCATTGCCTTTTAAGAGTTATTTACATTTATTGTAATTCTCTCTATAAGTTATTGATATATTGGGATTTTTTCTTATCATTTAAACACTGGCTTTGTATTTTATGCATTCTGTGCTTTGGAGTTTTTTTTAAGTCTCCTTTTCCCCTGGATCATTTTTTCCCCTTCTTTTTATTCAGTTTTTTACATGCATTAGTTTAAAAATTAAATGCTTGATTTCTATTCTTTCAATGTCATTCTTAAAATTTTAACAGGCATATTATCAAAGTCTTAAATGAATTAATTTATTTGTAATTGGCAAATAAAAATTGTATATATATATTGTGTACAGCATGATGTTTTGGTATATGTATACATTGCGGAATGGCTAAATCAAGGTAATTAACATATGTATTGTCTCACATACATATCCGTTTTGTGGTGAGAACACTCAAAATCTACTCTGTTAGCAATTTTTAAAATACAATATATTGTTCTTAACTATATTGACTGTGATGTACAATAGGCCTCTTGAATTTATTCCTCCTAACTGAAATTTTGTACCCTTTGACCATCATCTTCCCAGTCACACCCCCACGCCTCTGGTAACCATCATTCTACTCTCTAGTTGTATGAGGTCAACTTTTTGAGATTCCATATATAAGTGAAATAATTAATATATTTATCCTCCTTCCAGATAATTCAAGGATCTTAGCATTTTGACTCTAGTCAACTCTAATCTTACAATCCATTGTATTGCAGTATTTTAATTCTCTTCTATTAAGCCTTACAAACTGGATGTTAACATTATTGTGGTTATTGTTTCAGAGAGTCAATATTGACACAGGTTTACCTGAATATTACCCACGATTACCATCATTCCTTCTTTCTACTTAGATCTCCATCATCCTTCTTGAAATATAATTTTTAGAAGATCGATTGATGAATTTTTGTCAATGGAAAATACACTTTTACTTTCTCTGAAAATATTTTGTCCACATCAGTTATTTTCTTGTTCAGTATTAAGAAAACCTAATTTTTATGTTTTCTCCCTGTCATTGTTGATATTGTTTGCCATCAGGCTGTCATTACTTTTTAGGTATTCTAAACTGTTACTTCTTTAAGTACATCATTGTCTCCCCTTAATCTGTTCTCTTCATAATGTTTTATTTATTTGTTTCACTATGATGAATTCTGGACAGTTTCTTCTGATCTTTCTATTTAGCTGTATCTAATCTAGCTGTATCTAATTAAGTCATCTGTCAAGTACATTTTCTTAGTATTTTATTTTAATAATTTTATTTACTATTTCTAGATTTTTTATCTATATTCATCCTGTGATAATATCTTCTTCTTTATATATATTTTATTTATGTATCTGATAACATTAATGACTTAAACCTTTGTAAGTCTAAGTATATTTTTAGTTTTTGTGCTGATTTCATTCAAAGGAACTTATTTTTACATGTATTGTTTGTGTTCATGCAGGTGTGTATGTTTATCATCACTCTATGCTCATCTGTACTATATCTCTGGGAATTCTTCATATCCTATATCGAAAATGCACTCCTTCAAAGAAAGATTGCATTTGCTTTTGCCAAGCCCCTGGAAACCCTACTAACTAAAACTAAAGCTTTACTAAAACAAGCTTAGACCTTCCATCCACATACCAATTGTGTGAATGCAAATCACAAATCTACATTATTTTTATGAATTCTAAACTTTTATGAAGCAGAGAATTTTTTTATTCTTCTTCACCCAAAGCCAAGGACAAAACAGGCAAGTTTTCTTTCACTTTCCCTATGCTGGTTGGATTTTCTTTTTCTAGTTCACTTGTTCCTTAGGGTTATAGCTTTTCAGGTCTTCCCTTGTTGCTTAGACTGAAGACTGTGCCTCTCGTCCCTCCACGTGGCTGTTGAAATGCAAAGCTCTAGGTTACAGCAATTACAGCAGTTACCCTTAGAGCAGTCACTGTCTTCAATTTCTGTTCATTATGCCAGATTTGCACTCCAGTCTTTTTTTTTTTTTTTTGAGCTCTATGGATTTCTCCTACTTAACTGTTAGCTTACTTAATAAAAACAGATTTAAGAAACATTTTGAATGTTTACGTACTAGCTTTTCTTGGTATTCTGTAATGTGAGTGCTTGTATCAATGGCAAATTTTCAAATAATTTGTAAATTAAGTGGTTACTATGGTTAATTTAGAAATGCAGAAAAATAGGAGAATAAAAAATTGTAGGAATTTTGTAAACTAGAGATAGCATAACCATTATAAAAATGTTGGAATTTAAGATTTTTTTTCATATATGTTTTTACATAAATGAGATTACACTACATATATCCATTTAAGCATAATTAAGATATTCTCAAGTAAGAAACTGAATGATTATATTGAGAGGTTGGCAGCAAATAATATCAAAACTTTCCAAATGATAACCTCAATCTTCATATCATTAAATACAAATTTTTCAATATAGTATTAATTCATCATATATATTTTTAACAATAAAACTTTCCCTTCTGCAGTCCTCTACTTGTGGAAACACCAGTTTGTGTAGGGGACACATGTTTTCATTTCTCTTGGGTATATACCTAGGAATGGAATTGCTGTATCATAGGGTAAACCGAGTCTTAACTTTTTAAGGAACAGCCAAATGGTTTCCAAAAGTCTGTACCATTTATGGTCCCATCAGTAAGACGAGGAGAGTAGGACACAGAGACAGACAGAGGCCACATGAAGACACTTTGACAACACATGTTATCATCTATCTTTTTAAATTTTAGCCATTCTACCGAGCATAAAGTAGTGTCTCATTGTAGTTTGGATTTGCATTTCTTTAATGAAAAATGATGTTGAACATGTTTTTATGTGCTTATTGTCTATTTGTATATCTTTCCTGAATTATGTCTATTCAGACTCTTTGCCCATTTTTATTGGGCTGTTTTTATTTTTGAGCTGTGTTTTTAATATATTCTGGATACAAGTTCATATGAAGCACATGATTTGCAAATTACTTTTCTCCTATTCTGTGGGTTGTCTTTTCACTTTCTTGATGGTGTTCTTTGAAGCACAGAAGTTTTAATTTTGATGATGCTAATTTACCTATTTTTTTCTCACTTATACTTTTGGTGTCTTATCTAAGAAACTGTCACCTAATCCAAGATCATGAAGAATTACTCCTACGTTTTCTTTTAAGAGTTTTGTAGTTTTAGTTTTACATTTAGGTCTACAATCCAGTTTGAATTAATTGTATACATGATGTGACAGAGAGTTCTAGCTTCATCTCTTGCATGTAGCTACCCAGTTGTCCTAGCATCATTTGTTGAAAAGACTATTCTTTCCCCTATTCATTTGTCTTGGCATTTTTATAAAAAATAAATTGCATATCTATGTATTTTAAATTCAGTTATACATACTGTCACTAGCCCTGCCAGGCATCATATGTACTTACAAGCTGACAACTAGCACAGAAATGATTATTATCACTGGCCATGGCAAAGAATAATGACCTGTTATTTCCAAAGATTCTGTGAAGATGACTGTGCACCTGAGAATTTGTTTGGTTTATACAGACTAAGATTCCGTCTGCTTTGTTCACTATTGAGTTAGTAGCTAAACGGTTGTAAAATTTCTCAAGTCTCTCAGAGCTCACACTTGCAGGAAGCTTGATTTCACAACTTGTACATGACAGTCTCACATAAAAGTAGTCTCGTGAGAGTGTTACTATGGACAGAAAAATGACTATACCTCTTTTATGACTGCTGTTGTTATTTGGGCTGCTTTTTTCTTGATGTTGTTCCAAAAGCTTCCATTTTGCAATAAGCAGCAACACCTTAAGATAGATCTTAAACAGAACCATGGTTAGGGCTTTTTTTCCTCCCCTTTAGTCACAGTGATTTTCCATTTGCCCTGGAAGGCATTCAGCATTACTTGTAAACAGCAAAGATAAATGTGGCTTCTGATAAAATAAAGATAAATATTCATCTTTATGAATAGTCCATATGTTTATAAATAGGAATAGAATGAAAGCACTGTCCCAAACTTTCCTTTCAATTCAAAACATCCAAATGTATTTTAAATATTCCACCCCAATTAATCTCACTTTTAAATAAAACATTGCATGTCTAAGGTGGGAAAACAAGACCCTTCAGCAATGCCACACAACTGCATTTTTTTTTAAGTGGATGGTCACTTTTAACTGATACAGAGGAAATTTAGGAGAGAAGAAAAGTAATCAACTTTTCTATATCTGGAGTCCTTTAACCAATAAACAGACAAACCAACATAAAGTACACATGGTAAGCTCAGCATACATAACTGAATTTCTCTTTTTCAGCTTTTTCCCATTTTTGCACCTCAGCCTGTCCAATTGTGCAAAGAAAGGGAGGATGATTAAATATGCAACTGAGTAGTCAGGGCCTGTAGCTGCTGGGAGTTCCCCAAAGCTCTACGTCCCTCCCTCACCAGAACTTGTTTGCTCTCTCCAGCAAGTACCATGTGCTAGGATGCCCAAATTCACCACTGTAAGCCCAAGACTGTGAGGTTCCTAGACAGCAGGATTTTGCTCTAAAGATCATCCACAGATCCACTCTTTAATTTAACCCCATCTTGGCAGGCATAAGGAATAGCACAATGAAAAAATGTAGCTCCTGCCCCCAATAACTGTGTAAGATTAGGAAACCAGCACTCAGAAGGTATTTGAGCATAAAGTTAAGTACTTAGTAAAAGTTTGTGGATAAGGAAGGAAAGAAAGAGAAAAGGTGTGCAGGAGGGAGGAAGGATGAATTTGGATTTCATATCTCATACCAGAGAAAGATGAAAGCAGCATATTGAGACATAGAAGTGGTGTAAAAGACAAGAAGAGATGAATTAAAGAAGGCATAGGAACCAGAAGTGGAAAATTATGGTATAATACTTCCGTGTCTTTGGAGACAAATTGGATTTGAATCTTAGATTTGCCATTTACTAGCAGTGGTTTTGGACAATTTACTTAATTATGTTTGATCTTCAACCACTCTGTAATGTGTAAGGAGTAACAATATCTACGTCATTGGAATTATCAGAAGGATTTAATAAGTGTTATCAATTTAGTACAATACCCAGCCCATAGGAAGGACTCAGGAAATATTAGCCATCAATAGAAGATGCTATTTATATTTGGGTTTTCTTTAATCCTGAGATTCGACATGGCACACAAATGTAAACATTTTCAAATCAGTTCCATGTGGTAGACCTCTAGATTTTTTATTTTTACCCTTGAAATAGGTTTAAGACAATGCCATCATGGAAAGCCTCTGTAGAAGAAACTATTTATTGTACCCATTGCCTTTCTAAAATCTGTCAAATCTCTAAAGCTTCTCCCTTTTTGGAAGCTTAAACAGAAACTGAACCATCATAAAATTCTTGAAGTTTGCCTTGAATCTACTTTGGAGCTGCGTGAATTGAGGCCTTTTGATAACTGACCTTTGTTCTTCCAAATAGGCCTGATCCTGTGTAAAACGTATACACCGCCCACCTGCCACCACCCCTGTGGCAGCAATGTTTGAGGGCCTAAATGTTTCTGTGGGGAGTTATGACAGAAGTCAGCCAAATGTAGGTAATGATGTTAGGCAGCACGGAAGGTTGGAGCACGGGAAGAGGCAGCGGGGAGCTTTAGGCAAGGAACCCTTGTATCCAGCTGTGCCCAATTGGCCTTCCCTGAGGACTTGATAGGCACCCTGTTGTCACTTGTTACTCAGTAATTGAGGTAACAGTCAAGGGAAAAAAACCTTTATTTTTCACAATGCCATCTTTCAGCAATGCAGCTTCATGAGTGAAGACGGTGATGTTCCAGTAGTTCATCTAAACTCTTTAAAATCCTACCAAATACCTTACAGGTGGTGGGTGTGTAGTGGAAGTGGTTAGGAGCAGGATAGGTACTAAGATCTGTCTGAGATGTGAAACTTCATGAGTAAGATTTGGTGTCTTCACCACAATCATTCATAATAACCAGAACTTTAGATTCCTAACTGCAATTATTAAAGATTGTAAAGGTTGGCCGGGGGTGGTGGCTCAAGCCTGTAATCCCAGCACTTTGGGAGGCCGAGGCGGGTGGATCACGAGGTCAAGAGATCGAGACCATCTTGGTCAACATGGTGAAACCCCGTCTCTACTAAAAATACAAAACATTACCTGGGCATGGTGGCGCATGCCTGTAATCCCAGCTACTGAGGAGGTTGAGGCAGGAGAATTGCCTGAACCCAGGAGGCGGAGGTTGCGGTGAGCCGAGATCGCGCCATTGCACTCCAGCCTGGGTAACAAGAGTGAAACTCCGTCTCAAAAAAAAAAAAAGATTGTAAAGGTTATATTATACTGAGATATTCCTTTCGCCAATAAACCTTTAATGTTATCCCAGAATTAAAATACCCTTTTGCAAAATAAAATGTTTATCAAGTCTGCCAAAAAGAGGAGCCAATTATTTGGGTTTCTCTCTAGGATTTTAATAAATTCCTTTGATAGTCAAAGCAGTTAAGCAGGCTCACATGGAACAAAATAAAAGCACGAAAGCAGTCAATCTCATTTCCAAAGTGAACAAACATAAACATCGTTATCATTTCAAATTTTTCACTTTTACATTTTGCAGATAAGAATAACTTTTCTTACGTTTCTTACAGGTTCCTTATTTCCTCATTAATTGAAAAACCATATTTAGATACATTTATCACTAATGAATATTTTTCATAGTTTAATCACATTGATTTGTTGAGCATTATCAGAATATATAATTCTTTAGATAAGGAATTGTGAACAGTCTCATGGATTAATATTTTCAGAACATCAGTGTTTTAGCAAATAAGATGTTATTGACAGCACATTGTTAGCCTCACTACATCTCAGTGCAGTTCTCACTTAAATAAATATTTTATATAGTTCCTCAGTAGTGTTGACTGAGAAGATGTTTTGCTTTAGAACTTAAAAACTGAGGAGATGGAATAGTTGCAATTAGTGTTTGTGGTACATTAATTCCGGCATCCTCTTCTGATCAAAATACATAATTGGCAAATTTATACACATCAACACAAAGCCACAGAACATTCCAAGGATGCAAAGAATTGTGGATTCAAAGGATATATCATGCTTCCTTAGCCACCAATGTATTTTCAGTAGAATGAAAAGTCTTACGGTACATCACAACATACTGGTCAACCTTTAGGACTTTCTCAATTGCAAAGGGAGCTGGGTTACTCCTGCTAATACCTACCTATGCCCTCTCAGCATGTGCCATGAGAGGGCAGCACTGAGAGCGTCTCCAGCCCAGAAAGCGGTGGGCACTGTTAAGTATGGGTTAACACCTATGTTTTTATGTGGAAGCATTCAAGTCAGGCTGTGGTGATATATGTTCTCAGAGTCTACTGTAGTATCATTTTAGTGCTTTTATTACAAGTCATCAAACACTGTATCTGAAAAACATGAGGATAAATTATGGTACATTCAAAAACTGCTGATAAATAACAAAGAAGAGAACAGGGTACTTTGGGAATATAAGGCCTTTTGAGTGAGAAATGTTTTGTGCTAGCTATGAGTGAGTTTTCTACATGCAGAGAAATTCCATTACATTGGTCCTCGGAACTGGTTAACATTTTCTTGGTTCTTTGCTTAGTGTAGCAAATAAAAATCTATTTATTCTTTCTGGGAGTTCCCAAAATATCTTTATTGATTTGAATTTTGCTTTTTCACTTTATTATATAGTTGATTTTAAGTTTCTCTTGGGTGTACTCATGAGGTAGCCACATAAAATGGAACAACTTATTTGTAATAACAAATATTATACATGAGTTTTTTTTGACTGGCCCAGTTGCAAAGTAAATCACTCTCCTCCTAATTCTTTTTCATATTTTTTCTCTGGATCAGAAAACGTTACTTTCTCATACCCAGAGAAGTGTTATAAAATGATACATTGAGATCATCTGATTCCCTCTTTATTGTGATTGTCTCTAAAAAAAAAAAAAAAAAAAAAAAAAGCAAAAAGCGGCCATGAACTTATAAAGAATGTTTTAAAGAAGACACCAAAAGTTGTTAAAACAGTAAATGAATTCATCAAGGTTGCAGGGCACAAGATCAATATACAAAAATTAATTATATTTTTATATACTTGGAATAAATGATCTGAAAACAAAGGAAACAATTCTATTTATAATAGCATCTAAAAGAATAAAATATTTAAAATAACTATAACAAAAGAAGTGTAAAACTTATACCCTGAGAAGTATAAAACATTACTGAAATAAATTACAGAAGATCTGTATCAGTAGAAAAACAGCCTATGTTCACAGACCGAAGATTTTAAACTTATTAAGATGATACTACTCCTCAAATTGAGCTATAGATTCAGTGCAATCCCTGTTGCAACTGGGATTCTGTAGACCAGTTGGCTTCTTTATACAAATTGATGTGCTGATCCCAAAATTCATATGGAATTGCATGGGACCCAGAATGGCCAAAACAATTGTTTAAAAGAAGAATAAATTTGAAGGCCTTTCAAAGTCAATCACTCCCAATTTCAAAACTTACAATAAAGTGATGACAATCAAACTTATGTTACTAACATAGGAATAAAAATGTAGATCAATGGGATAGAATTGAGAGTCTACAAATAAATCTATAGGTCTTTGATCACCCAGATTTAACAAGGGCACCAAGGTTATTCAGTAAAGAATATTTTTAAACAAATGGTGCTAGGATGATTGTATATCCACATGTAAAACAATGAAATTGGACCCTTACCTCACAAAATATAGAAAAATTAACTCAAAATAGATCAAAGATGTAAATATAAGATGTATGTACACGTAAATCTATAAAACACCTAGAAGAAAACTCAGGGGTAAATCTGCATGACCTCAGATTTGACAATGAATTCTTAGGTATAATTCCCAAAACATGAGCAACAAAAGAAAAAATAAATTGGTTTTTATCAAAATTTAAATTTCCTGTGCTTCAAAGGATGCTATCAAGAAGTAAAAAAACCACCCACAGAATGAGAAAATATTTTCAAATCATATATCCCATATGAAACTTGTATCCAGAACATATAAAGACCCATACAACTCAATAATAAAACAAATGAACCCAATTTTAAAATGGGCAAACAATCTCAATAGACCTGTCTCCAAAGAAGACATACAAATAGGCACAGCACATGAAAAGATTCTCAATATCATTAGTCATCAGAGAAATGCAAATCAAAACCACAAGAAAATACCTCTTCATACCCCCTAGGATGGCGACACTCAAAAAGATATAACAATAACTTTTGGCAAAGATGGAAAGAAAATTAGATCTCTCATACATTGCTGGTGAAAATGTAAAATGATGCTGTCACTTTAGAAAATAGCCTGGCAGTTCCTCAAACAGCGACACACAGAGTTACATGTGTTCCAGCAGCTCTACTCCTAGGTATATACCAATATAAATGAAAATATCTAGCCACAAAAAATCTTGTACACAAATGCATTATTTATAACAATCATAAAGTGAAAACCTGAAAGACTGTAAACTGTTGAACAGATAAACAAAATGTGGCATATCCATACAATTAAATGTTATTTGGTCACAAGAAGCAATGAAATGCAGTAGTTAGTGATAGATGCTACAATATGAAGGAAACTTGAAACCATGGCACCATTATGCTAAGTTAAATAAGACAGCCACAAAGGACCACATATTATATAATCCCATTTATACGAAATGTCCAGAATAAGCAAATCCATACAAACAGAAAGTAGATTAGTGATTGCTTAGGGCTAGGAGTGATGGGTGGGTAGGAGACTGATAGCTAAAGGGCAAAAAAGTGTTCTGAAGTTGACTGCGGGGGTGGTTTCACATTCTCTGAATATACTAAAACCACCCAATTCAGTGAATTTAGTGGGTGAATTCACATAGCTGTGAATTTTATCTCAACTGTAAAAATAATACAGGAATGTGATGCTCTAACCTGCATAGGTCCAGGCCACATGCGTCTGGGGAAGAATTTCCACCTGAATACTTGGGGTGTAAATAGGTGCATAGACATATAGATGCCAGATGGTAAGAAGAGTGAAAGTCTACCACACATGTCTGTGAGGTCATTAAGGGATCCAGTCTTTGCAAAGGAAGGTTATATTACAGCTCAGTTGAGAAGTGAAAAGAAAAGGGACTCAAATTCATGGTGGGTGCTGTGACAAGTCTCCATATAATTAAAAGACACGTACAAGAATGTTCATAGCAACACAGTTTATTAGCCCCAAATATCCATCAACATTTGATCAAATAAATTGTGGTATATACAAAATGGAATACCATATAGCAACAAGAATGAATAAACTCCAAAAGCATGCAATATGAATGAATCTCATAAACCTAATACTGAATGAAAAGAGTTATCCGGCCAGGCAGAGTGACTTAGGCTTGTAATTCAGCACTTTGGGAGGCTGAAGCGGGTGAATTACTTGAGGTCAGAAGTTCAAGACCAGCCTGGCCAACATGGTGAAACCCTGTCTGTACTAAAAATACAAAATTTAGTCAGGCATGGTGGCATGTGCCTGTAATCCCAGCTACTTGGGAGGCTGAGGCAGAAGAGTCACTTGAACCTGGGAGGCAAAGGTTGCAGTGAGCCGAGATTGCCCCACTGTACTCCAGCTCAGGTGACAGAGCAAGACTCTCAAAAAAAAGAGAGAGTCATTAACAGACATACAAACTGTATTATTCTATTTACATAATGTTCAAAAGTAGGCTAAATGAATCTATGCTGTAGGAAGACAGATTAGTATGTATCCTTGTGGGGGGCTGTGAATGGACAAGTGGAGGAGAGGAAGGACTTTGGGGTGCTGACAGTGATCAGGGTGCTGTGGATATGAGGTGTTCACTTTATAAAAATTCTTTCAGTTGTATACTTATTATTTATGCACCATTCCCTATGTAAGTTAGACTTTGACAAAAGTGAAATGAAAAAGAAACTAAATAGCCTTGTTGACTTTCCCTAAAGATAGAGAGCATGTCATGTTTATTTCTAATGCTTATTCAAATGGGTAGATACTTTGGGAAAGGATAACATGGTGAGATAATCACTTACAGGAGTAAGAGTTATGGGGCTGTTGCTTCCTGGGCATGGAAAGATTAGACCCCTTCCAGCCTAGCCGTTTCCTTCTTATTATCTTGGAAGCAAACTGTCCAGCTGTTCCTCCTAAAGTCAGGTTAACAATGATTGTGGTTGTTCCCTGCAGCACGGGTCGGGCTGTAAGACATCTTCCCCTTATATTTACATAGAGACAGAAGGTATAGAGTGGTGCAAATGGGAAGGGAACAGTGTATTTCTCCACTGTGTGCTTATGTCCAAATCAGAAACCAGCCTCATTCTTGCTTATTAATTATTAAGGAAAATAAATTTTAAGCATCAGGGCACTGTTCTCCAAATGGTGATTGGGGGAAGGGGATTCTCTGAGTTCTATGAAATACTAAAATTTCTATGTGTTGATAATGACTAAAAATAAATTTTCCACTTGTAAAGACAAAACTTCCGTATTGCAAAGTTATTTTCATAGAATAAAATCTTAGTTTCTTAAGTCAGTCTTTTGCAAATTGGGGTCCATATATGAATTATTAAGAAAATCTTTCCAATAAATGCACTGGGATATGTTTAGGTTTATTTGACATACACAGGAATATTTGAGGGAAGGGAGCAATAAATTCATCTCTTTAATTTGCTGCAGCCTTTCCTTAGAGGGAGTGCTTTTTAAACTGGTGTTAAGATGGAGAAACATGCCTTCTATCATGCTACTGCTGAATTCCCTGCTCCAGAAACATGCAGCAAGTTAGCATGACCCAACTGCTTGAAGGCAAACAAGATGTTCTTGTCTTAAATGTAGTCATCATTTTGGAGGAAGAAAAGCCATAATGAGCCCTTCTTTTTTCTTTTTCTTTACTGAGGAGTAGCAAATGGTATTTAAACTGTTATCTGGCAACAAAAAATTTCAAGCAATGTTTACAAAAAAAAAAAAAAAAAAGCCTGCCAACACTTATTTCTGCTGGGCACTGATATAGCTGAGTTAAAAGCCCTTTGGAGATGGAGAATATGACAAGAAAAGTTGCACACTCCTAACCAAAGCGGGCTTTCCAAGAGCTAGAGTAAAGCCACTGTCATTAAGGTTTTTCGCACTGGGGCTTGTTGGCAGCATTTTGCAAGAATCATTTCCTCCATGGTGGTAATAAAGTGACAGTGTCTTTCCTGACTGTTGCTAAAGGTGAAGTAAGAATTTGAATTGAGAGAGGCAGTTAAAATAGTATCTGAACTTTTGAACTTCCTGATCCGATAATTATTCTTGAAAGTCTCTATAAGATGGAAAAGAGAGCTAATGCTACTTAAAGTGTTTAATTTTAAAGGAATATCATCATTAAATAGTACTCCTTCCATAATTTCTTGGTTGTTGAGTGCAGGCATGACAAGAATTTAATAAAGATACTTCTGATTGATAAGATGGGGTGTAAACAGAAAGTTCTCTTAAATAGGAAGGTGTGTATGTTTGGAAAATGAACTTGTCTCTTTTTGCTTAGAAGTGTGTATAAATTAATGCAAGATATTTGTCTATATCTCAGCCCCAGGTGTCCCTCCTGAGCGGCAGATCTGCACACCCAACTTCTTACTAGACACATTTCTTGAATGCCCCATAGGTACCTTATTTCAACATATTCAAAATAAAACTCAGCATCTCAGCCTTCTCCTGCTCACCCACCTTGGCCCTTTACTGCTGTTTCTTCATTCTTTCTTCTATTAATCATTGTTAAACCGCTTTCCAAAATCATGCATCTAGGTATCAGCCTTGGATTCTGCCATCACTGACGCCACACACCCCAATAAGTCACTTCCAATATATTTCCTAAATCCACTCACTTTCAGCAACCCCCCGTTTCCCATCTAGAGGTGACCACTAGTATTCCACCGCTTGACTCTTTCAACATTCTCCTGACGAGTCTTCTGGTGGCCCTTCACTCTTTTGCCTCTTTCAAGCTGTTACCATGAGAGGG